CCTGACGGTCTAAGTGAGCGTAACTTCAGCGTTTCACCGCTGCTGATATCGCCATGATTTTAGCAAATTTGTATGAAAATGAAAAACTCACCACTTCAATCTAGGTTAATAATGCTTTGTAACGCGCGATACTCACATTTGTACAGAGTAAAATATTAAAGGTTTTCCCCTGTAATGCCACATTACTGCGTTACAGCAAAAAACAATGCAGCACAGTTATTTGTTACTTTTATAACACGTTACTCCCAACACTGGTCAACAACGAGAAACAACCAGATACCAGAGGAGTATCTCCAAAACCGACACATTTAAAACCCTGAGCCTCACACAGGCTCCTCTCAGATCACAAGTCTGGACCGACGAGTGTCATTTTAATCCTGACGCAAAACGACCATCTGGAAACAGAAAATAATCTCACATGAACAGCAGCTGTGTGTGTGGGACAGAGTTTTGTTTCTGACCTAAACTGCGTCTGCGTAACATTCCGGACGGAGCAGAGGCATCTCCGTGGAAACCAGAGGAGCGCAGCGTCCAGCAGAGAGGTTCTGTAGTGCAGTTTTAGGTCTGGGCCTAAACAGAAGCTCAGACGTCTTATTGCCACGATCGGCCCTGGAGCTGCATAGACCAGTCTTAGTCTGAGTTTGAGTCTTAGTCTGAGTCTGGGTCTCAGTCTGAGTCTGAGTCTTAGTTTTAGTCTGAATCTGGAGTCTGAGCCCAAGTCTAAGTCTAAATCTGAGTCCGAGTGTCGTTCCAAGTCTGAGTCTGGGTCTGAGTCTAAGTCCAAGTCCAGGACCGGCTCTGAATCTGCGTCCAGGTCTGAGTCTAAGTCTGAGTCTGAGTCTGAGTCTGAGTCTGAGTCTAAGTCTAAGTCTAAGTCTAAGTCTAAGTCTGAGTCTGAGTTTGGGTCCGAGTCTGAGTCCAGGTCGGAGTCCGGTTCAAGTCCGAGTCTCAGTCTCAGTCCGAGTCTGGTTCTGAGGCGAGTCTGAAGAGAGAAGAGGAGGAGGAGAGAGAAGAGTCAGAGTCTGAGGCGAGGAAGAGTGTTCCCCCGGTCTGAGCACAAACACAGCCTTCAGAAGAACCAGGTCTAAACCAGGTCTGAACCAGGTCTAAAGGAACCGATTATTCCGATTATTTAGACTCCAGAGAAACCAAAGCCCCTGAGCTCTGTCGATATTTTTGAGCCGAATTGGATCATTTTTGGACTAATTTAAAGCTGCACTGTGTAACGTTCATCTGGAATGTTCCACAGTATGGCATTAGACCTTCCTATCATCACAGAGACCAGACCAAAAGTTCCAGGTCAGATCTGTGGAGAGGCGACTCCGCTCACAGTCACAATGTCTGTTTCTCTCTGGATTTTTGAACATTAACCGGAAGTTCCAAACCTACATTGTCGCACTTCATCTGTCGTGAAAAAGGTCTATAAATGTAAGTTAGAGCTGTTTAATGTCAAACTGTGGAACATTCCAGAAAGACCAACGACGTATCCACAGAAACAACCAAAAAGTTACACTGTGCAGCTTTAAAACATTCACAAAAAACAAGGCCCGCTCACTCAAAAGAGGAAATATTGATCGTTAAAGCTCCTCTAAAACACAAACCTACTCCTGTGAGCTTTAAGTCGTGTTCTAAAGTTGTTTCCTCCTCAGAAACAGACCTGGAGTTGTGTTTTGTTTCATTCATGTGTTTGAGTAACAGACCAAAATGCCTTTTTCGATTTGTGATGTCATGAAGTGATCGTTTTCAAGTGAACAGCGTCTTTTACCTCTTTTAAGGCGACGTTAAGTGACCCAAATCTGATTTTTTGGCCCCTATGTGACCTGAATCTGGTCTTTTAATGACAGATCCGATTTTTTTTCCAAATGTGACCCAGGACACTTGGATCTGTGCTCCCAAAACCGATACATATCCGATCTTTGGACGTGCGACTTCAGACTGAACGGTCAGGTCACATTCATCCCACCTACACGTCACAAATGTTCACAAACGTTCTTCTCGTCAGACGAAAATCGCATGTGAACTCCGTGTGAGCGAAGCGGCGGCGCACAGGTCAATCCCTCCACTCTCCTTTCCACGTTCTTTTCTACAGACATCACTACCGCTGCCCCATGAAACGCCACGACCAAAAACCTCGTCCTTCTCCTTCTCCGGGTCTGTTTACACAAGAACGCTTGCGGATAAAAATGACTTTCGTTTAGATGGTGACGGCGTTTTTGTGGCTTAAAAACAGAAAAATCTGAAACCACCTCCAGAGTGAAAAAGCTCCACTGTAGTGTTTCCGTCGACATTGCCCAAGACACAAAACTCTGGTCAGATCTGCTCAGGTCATGTACATGTTTACGTCATATACATCACCATCGAGTGTCACCACCGAGTCGCCTGGCATCGAATTCCACACACTTTTGCGTCACCGTATGCACGCAGATTTACTCCCGACAATGCTCGCCTAAACACTGAATAAAAAGTGAAGACGCGACGCCATTTTTACGTCTTCTGTTCAACATAGCCTCAATCTCCTCCTTAAAACAAATAAGATGTACCATATTTTTCTGACTATAAGTCGCTGCGGATTATAAGTCTCACAGAGCCAAAAAATATATTTGGGCCCGGTCAAGCAGAAGTAAACAGCAAGACCAAAAATTCAAGTTAATGCATCTGATATAAACATGTATTGAACAGATACATATGTACTCTAGTTTATGAAACTGTTGACCTTTTTTCTGTACCATTTTTGGTTCTAAAGTTCCATATCTTTTAAACAGACCATGTATGAAACATGGAACAAAAATTATTTCCCAAATTTCAAAGACCTGCAAATCATGTAAATAAATGGATGTATTTCATCATATCTTGTGTTATTCCATCTTTGAAGTTCTAGTATAATAACAATAGAATAAAGAACATCAGGCTGAATAGGTGTCTGGACTGTTAACGTCACATATGAACAGTTCTTCAGATAAATATAACATAAACAACAGAACAGAACAAGTTTAACAAACTCTCCATCTCACTCCAAATCAATAAATCCACTCAATTCTTCATCCTCGGTGTCCCTTCTGAACAACTCGGCCTCGACCTTCGGAGGTAAACAGAGCACCACTTCCTCTTCTGTGTCGCTGTCGTCAGACTCAGCATCAGTTCCAGTTAGAATTATTCGGGTCTTTCTGAATCCTGACAGGATGGTTTCAGTGTCACTGAAGTCCAGACTTTGTCCATCCATCCAGTGACTTCAGGAAAGTTTCATGGCGCATCCTCCCGGTTGCGGTGAAGTTGTGTTCTCCATCCCTGCTTTCCGCAAATTTCTTACAAATTTCTCTCTCACTCCAAACTTTCTTTCTGCTGCTCGATTTCCATTTTCAGCTGCATATTTCACGACTTGCAGCAGGACAGAGGCTCTTTCTGCAGGAGACATGCGCAGAAAACTGACACACAAGACTAGAGCTTCTCGTGGCTGTCAGTCTGAAAATTTTAATATATAAGTCGCAGGAAACACCTGAACCATGAAAAAAAGTGTGACTTATAATCGAAAAATATGGTACATCTTCTGGCTCCGGTACGACAGCAGCTTTAAAATTTCCAGGTGCTCGATGTGTGTGACGTTTGGCGTTTGACACTTATGGGATGTTTAAAGTTCACACTGGAGATCACACACAAGTCACATTTAACTGGAAATGTGAACAACCTCGCAAAAACATCAGATTTCATCAAAAAATCTGAATTGAGCCTTAAGCCCTGCAGTCTGAATGTCGCTTTATTTCAGTAGAGATCGGCAACTCCAGGACTGAAATGATCCAAATGATTCTAGTGAAGATGTGTGGAGCATATGAAAGAAGAACTCAGCCTAAATATACAGGGTTAGTGAGTTAAACATGAGTGAATGAAACAAAACACAACTCCAGGTCTGTTTGTGAAGAGGAAACGAGATCAGAACAGAGCAAGTCTTTAAGGAGAGACTCAAAAAACGAACGAAATATGAAACGAACCGAAGCGGACGTTTTTCTGAAGGCCGAGTTCAAATCAAATATAAAATCCTAAGAAACTTCAAGTGTCGAAAAGTTCAGAAAATCTCGTAAAAAACGTTCCACAGAAAAACAACACACTTTCACTCAGCACACTGCCACGTCTCCACCAATCAGAGGGCTCCAGACTCCCAACGGGCCAATCAGAGGGCTCCAGACACCGAACGGGCCAATCAGAGGACTCTAAAGTATAAACTGGCTAATCAGAATCAGTCTAAAGTTACTGTGTGTTCTGGAGGTGTGGTCTACAGTTTCGTCCCTAAAGTCCAAACTTCGGGACATTCCCTGGAGCTGGCTCTACTGTCGCCATGCCAACAGGAGGAGAAAGTGTCGTGGTTCAGATAAAGTCAGAATGCTTTTACATTCAAGAGGAGGGATTACAGTTATTATTTGGGCATTAACAGTGACACATATTTAGATCTCCATGTTCCTTTTATTGTTTTGAAAATCGTATATTCGCCCAAGTCCAGATAAACAGGAGTCCGGATAAACAGGACCGGATAAACAGGAGCCCGGATAAACAGGGGCCCGGATAAACATGGGTGGAGACGTGGGGCGGAGACAGCAGCAGGGGGCAGCACACACAAAGCAGCTCATATCAAACATCAGAGTCATAAATATGTAAGAATCAGAATAATGTGATAAGGCAGAGCCACGACTAAAGCTCCAGAAACAGAAACAGACCACTGCTTCAAAGCACTCCACACACGAGTCTGAGAGCCGCTGAGGACGACGCCCACGAGCCGGGACACGCCACGAGCCAAGGGACACGCCCACGAGCCAAGGACACGCCCATGAGCCAAGGGACACGCCCACGAGCCGGGGACACCCCCACGAGCCAAGGGACACACCCACGAGCCGGGGACACGCCCACGAGCCAAGGGACACGCCCACGAGCCAAGGGACACGCCCACGAGCCGGGGACACCCCCACGAGCCAAGGGACACGCCCACGAGCCGGGGACACGCCCACGAGCCAAGGGACACGCCCACGAGCCAAGGGACACGCCCACGAACCAGGGACACACCCACGAGCGAAGAGACACGCCCACGAGCCAGGGACACGCCCACGCGCTGGAGGACACGCCCATAAGCGGGAGGACACGCCCACAGGACAGAGAACACGCCCTGTGACACGCCCAAATGTTTGGGACACACCCACGCTCCAGAGGACACGCCCACGTGCCTCAGGACACGTCCACAGGCCAGAGGACACAACCCAAGACACGCCCACATGTTAGGGACACGCCAGAGTAAACGCCCACGCGCCAAAGGACATGCCCACACGCCAGAGGACACGCCCCCTGGACATGCCCAAATAACCGTCCAATGACACAACAGCATGTATTGATCAGTGGGAGCTGGAATTGCTCCCTCAACCTGTGGGTCGTGAATCTGTCCGCTGCGCCGAGAGACACTCCAGAGAGACACTCCAGAGACGCGTCCTCAGGAGGACATAGTAAATCTCCAGCCTGTGTCTGTGGAGGGACCAGGACGTGATGAGGAATACGAACCCTGACCCTGACTGTTCCACGTCGGAGGTTTGCCGTACTTCATTTATCATTTCAGTCTGTTGTGTCGCTCTCTTGCATTTCTTTGTGAAAGCAGCTCACCTGAGACTCACCTGCTCGAAATATTTAACACAGACAAAAGTTCTGTTTAAGGTGAAGTGGCCCAGTTCACTTACGTCGCTCTTCTTCAAAATACTCGGATACGTTCACACGAGCACAGATTTAGTTTGTATTTGAGACCTCCTTTATCATGTGAATAAACATTGTGAAAAATATTGAGCTCAAAATGACCCTTTGACCTTATTTGTCAGTTCCTATACTCTGCCTTTGTATCATGAAACTAAAATAAGGAATCGTGCAAAGGCAAAAAGCAGAAACTGACTTGATTGTTACATGGTACAGGAACTTCCAAATAAGGTCAAAGGTCCATTTTGAGCTCAAGATTTTTCATTTTTCACAAAGAAATATTTCCTCATAATAGCATCTAGTTGTTGAATTTTGGGAGCCCTACCTGTTATAGTTTTGTCTGGACAAAACAGAAACTTTGAAGTCATTTTTCACAGTTTCACACTCTGGCAAGTTTAGCTCTTTTGCGTTGTTTAGGGTTTCGTTTGGGTCTCGTTTGGGGTATCATTTTGGTCTTGTTTGGGGTATCATTTTGGTCTTGTTTGTGGTATCATTTTGGTCATGTTTGGGGTCTCATTTGGGTCTTATTTGGGTCTCATTTAGGGTCTTGTTTGGGGGTCTCATTTGGGTCTTGTTTGGGTCTCATTTGGGACTCGTTTAGATCTCATTTGGGTCTCGTTTGGGACTCGTTTAGATCTCATTTGGGTCTCGTTTAGATCTCATTTGGGTCCCATTTGGGTCTCATTTGGGTCTCGTTTGGGTCTCGTTCGGGTCTTACTGTAGCATCGCTCTGACCGGGCGGCCGTCGTGGCTCCGCGGCGGCTCTGAGACAAACACAAACACGAGTCATGCATCTGTACAAAATGTCACGGCTCCAGGAAGTCCAAACATGGTGTGGGCGGAGCCAGAGGGGAGCCATTATTACTGAGGACCGCAGGGGGCGCCACACCAGCCCGTGACGCTAACAGAACGGCTAAGGTTTCACCCGGACTGGACTGGGCACTGAACCCGGACTACACCAGGGTCTGAACCAGGACTAAAACTGGACCGAAGCTGGGTCTGAAAACAGGGACTAAACCAGGACTGAGCCAGGTCTAAAACTAACACTAAAACAGGCCTAAAACAGGCCTAAAACCAGGACTAAACCAGGATTAAACCAGGACTAAACCAGGTTTGTCGTAGGGAGCAGTGATGTTGCCCTGAGTCGTTTTTACATTCGTGGATCGGCTTTGGTTTTACACATTCGCAGGATTCAAAAGTTTAAAAGAGACAGATTCAGTTTTTCTCTCTGTAACCCTGTTCTAATGTGAGGAAATGTCCTGCAGTGGGGCTTTAACCTGTTCTAATGCGGCGTCCTCCTTAGAAGAGACGTAGGCCCGGTTTAGTCCGGGTTTAGTCCGGGTTTAGTCCAGGTTTAGTCCCAGTGCAATGGTGTATAAAAGCAGAAAATCAAACCAAAACATCCAAACTCCATTTCCCACGATGCACTTGGGCTTGGTACATTCACTGTTTACGGACGCGCTGAAGTTCTGCCTCGTAACAGATGACAGCGGACGCTCTGATTGGAGGGTGAAGAATTCGGGTCCTGGTCCCGGCGCAGACCCGTCGGACAGTCTGGCGTTCAGGTCCAGATCTTCGCAGCGTCTTGTTGTTGCCGTTAGCGTCTTTTTGCGATGCCGCTCTCCGTGTCGCCGTGAGCCGGAGAGACGAGGCGTTTTTTGGAAGATCGCAGTTCATGTTCGGAGGCGGTGGAAACTCCGTGGAAGAAGCAAAAAGTCCAAAAATGGTTCTCTAAAATGTTCAAAAAGATTCACAAAAAAAAAAAATAAATAAATAAAATAAATAAAGCCGAGAGGAAACGCGGCTAACGATAAAAACTCACCCAAACCCGATACCAAAACATTACATGCAGCTAGGCCATGTACAGGCAACAGCAGTGGTGCACCCCTCACAAAACTAGGACTAATCCAGGACTAAACCTGGACTAAACCAGGACTCCGTCTGGTCTAAAGAGGTTTAGATAATAAACAATAAACCAGAGCTTAACTAGGACTAAATGAAGACTAAACTAGGACTAAATCTGGACTAAAGCAGGACAAAAGCAGGACTAAACCAGGACTATACCAGGACAACAGCAGGACTAAACCAGGACTAAACCAGGACCAGTATCACCCATCTTGTGCACAATAACACCAGAAGACTTTTCTGCCCAGCAACAGACGACAGCGCTTACTGTGATTGGCCATAATGCTCTCTATAATAAACTCTCTCTACATTATATATATACATGTGTGTTTAAATACGTGCGTAAGAATATGATTAATGAAGCTTTGTACAGAAAAGTGGGAGCGTTTGGTTCTGCGATTCCTCTCAGCTTTGTAAACTTCAACTGTAAGAAACTAAAGACGCCACGTCCGGATCTGGAACGAACTCTGCGTCTGCAGCGGGCGCAGAGGGCAGAGTATGCTTGATTTTATGGGTGCTTTTGATTTGAGTGCATTTGATTTCATGGGTGTGTTTGATTTTATGGGTGTCTTTGAGTTGCGTGCGTTAGATTTTATGGGTGTATTTGAGTTTGGGTGCATTCAATTTCATGGGTGTGTTTGAATTTATGGGTGCATTTGAGTCGGGTGCGATTGATTTTATGGGTGCTTTTGATTTTATGGGTGTGTTTGAGTTGGGTGCGTTTGATTTTATGGGTGTGTTTGATTTTATGGGTGTGACTGAGTTGGGTGCGTTTGATTCTATGGGTGCGTTTGAGTTGGGTGTGTTTGATTTCATGGGTGCGTTTGATTTTATGGGTGTGTTTGAGTTTATGGGTGCGAATGAGTTGGGTGCATTTGATTCGATGGGTGCGTTTGTGTTGGGTGTGTAAAATGTTTTGGGTGCGTTTGATTTTATGGGTGCGTTTGATTTCATGGGTGCGTTTGATTTCATGAGTGCGTTTGATTTCATGGGTGCATTTAGTGGCATCTGTGTTTTGTTTCGTGTTTCGTCCCAGATCCGGAGGCGGCCGTGACCCCCACCCGCCTCTTTCAAAATAAAACTAAAGCTAAAGCAGGAGGAAGCTGATTGGTCGACGAGTCTGGTCCCTCCCACTCAACGATGATGTCAGACGCTGGGCCTGCTGTCAATCAAAGCTGAAGTCCCGGGCGGCGTGCCCATATCTGGAAGTTAACTGAAAGAGAAAGAGAGAGACGTTTAAAATCTCTTACGTACAGTTTGTTTAAACTGAACCCTGGCGCTTCAGAGTGTGTGTGTGTGTGTGTGTTAGGGTGGTCCATCAAAGCGCAGTAAAAAATAAAGTTTCCTGCACCCCACTCTATTTCAAATCCACAAACACTTTAAGACAGAAACTGGTCGACCCAAAGGACAAAACACCGAGCCACAAACAAAGTAACATGGTCTACTCCGTTCAGTGTAGTGAAGACTGAAAACAAAACAGCCACTTCACAAGACGATGAACCAACACGGACGAGAGAACAACACGGGACTCCAGTCTGCTGTACATCTCCATCGAAAAGAAAATACAGGGTTCCTACTCTTTTTCACTGACAAAATTTAAAAACTTTTCCATTACTTTTTCATGACATTTATGGCACCTACTTGTGTATGAAATATGAAAATGTTAACCCTTTCCACTCACCTTATGGTTTGGGTTTATAATTTTTTAACATTCTAAATGTTGTCAGTGCATTTATTGTCGTCTCTTTTAAACAAAAGGCACAAACATTTAGAAATAATCAGAACAGCCTCATGAGAACTTAACAGAACACTGTAGTTATGTGAAAGAGATACTAAAATTCCATGACTTTTCCAAAACTTTCACTGAATTCACAAGATCTCATGACTTTTCCAAGCTTGAAAAATTACATTTTAAATTTCCATGACTTTTCCAGGATTTCCTTGACTGTGGGAACTCTGACACTAACCACTTCTTTGAGGACAGTGAGATACAGATCTGAGCCAGAGAAAAGAACTGGTTTGAGAGGGGAATTAAAGAAGCTATTTTTGTTAAGAAAGAGAATCCTTCTCTAAACAGAAATGAAGGACTCAGACTCCATCTATCTCATATTTACAACTCCATCCTCAAACCTAAACCAAAACAAACAAGAGAACAAGAGATGTAGTCAGGTCAGCTCCATTATGGACATGAATGATTCTGTTAACATAACTCCAGACTCACTGCAAGTTCAATAGTCCGAGCTACAAACAGAAACTGTAAACAGGTGTTGGTTAGTTTCAGAGTAGTTTCAGTGTAGTTAGCTCCTCCTTCAGACAGATATAAGGAAGTGTCCACCAGAGTCTGACCAGAACTAAAGCAGCTTGGACAATCTGAGAAACATATTTGACTAAATAAACTTTTGTCCAGTTGTCAAATTGAATTTCTCCTTTTGCCCTGGATTCTACTTGAACGACTGAAGGATTTTACAGACAACCCTGCTTTAGGTTTCAGCATCCAAAAGATTTAGGAAGAAAACTGGAAGAAAAAGGAGATGTTTTAGAGGTTGCTCAAGCTGCATGAAGTTTCCTGGAAATTTTGCATTTTCAAGTAATTTTTAATGGACTTTATGAACTTTCTAAGTATTTTTTATGCAAGTTTCAGTTTGTGTTTGCAGAATAAAATGACAAATTATATGAATAGGCCTTCTTTATTTGGTTCTGTGTAATAGTATAGGGCACGTGACTTGAGTAACCTCTAAATATTAATTTGCATAAAATTTGGACCCAAATATTTTGGCCAGATATGGAACCAAATGCAGGATTCTAACCTAGAGAATCTAAAAAATGTTTCTGGACCATCCTAATGTGTTTGTGTCTTCAAAACGTAGTCTGTCATGGGTTACTCCAGGACTAAATCAGGACTAAATCAGGACTAAATCAGGACTAAACCAGGACTAATCAGGCACAACAAGGACCAAACAAACCGGGACTAAACCAAGACTAAATCGGGACTAAATCAGGACTAAATCAGGACTAAACCAGGACTAATCAGGCACAACAAGGACCAAACAAACCAGGACTAAACCAGGACTAAATGAGGACTAAACTGGGACTAAACTAGGAGTAAACCAGGACTAAATCAGGACTAAATGAGGACTAAACCAGGACTAATCAGGCACAACCAGGACCAAACAAATCAGGACTAATCCAGGACTCAACCAGGACTAAACCAGGACTAAATCAGAACTAAATCAGGACTCAACCAGGACTAAACCAGGATTAAATCAGAACTAAATTGGGACTAAATCAGAACTAAACCTGGACTAAAACAAGTCTAAACCAGGACTAAATCAGAACTAAAGCAGGACTAAACCAGGGCTAAATCAGAACTAATTCAGGACTAAACCAAGTCTAAACCAGGACTAAACCAGGACTAAATCAGAACTAAATGAGGACTAAACTAGTACTAAACTAGGACTAAACCAGGACTAAATGAGGACTAAACCAGGACTAATCAGGCACAACCAGGACCAAACAAACCAGGACTAAACTAGGACTAAATGAGGACTAAACTAGGTCTAAACTAGGACAAAACTAGGACTAAACCAGGACTAAACCAGGACTAAATGAGGACTAAACCAGGACTTATCCAGGACTCAACCAGGACTAAACCAGAAATAAATGAGGTCTAAACCAGGTCTAAAGCAGGTCTGGTCTGTGGTGCAGTGAGCTCGTCTGTGATTGGTGGCCGTGTGGGTCCGAGCGCTCTGATTGGTCACTCACTTGCAGAGCGTGGAGGGCGAGCCGGACCGGTGGAAGTGGACGATCTGCCACTTGCCGTCGCGGCGGTGCCACACCCTGCTCTCCTCTGATTGGACGGTGCGTGGCGAGCCGTTGGCGTCAATGAACTGCGTGACTCTGATGTAAGCGATGCAAGCCGCCTCCTCGCCCACCAGGTGGATGTGAGGATTCAAAATGGTGGTGTGGACCGGCTTCGAGTTCTTAGACCAGACTGAGGAGAGAAACCAGGACTAAAGCGGGTCTGAAACAGAACTAAACCAGGACTAAAGCGGGTCTGAAACAGGACTAAACCAGGACTAAAGCGGGTCTGAAACAGGTCTAAACCAGGACTGAACCAGGACTAAACCAGGTCTGAAACAGCACTACACCAGGAGTAAACCAGGACTAAACCAGGTCTGAAACAGGACTAAACCAGGACTAAACCAGGACTAAACCAGGTCTGAAACAGGACTAAACCAGGACTAAAACAGGTCTACACCAGGTCTGAGCCAAGTCTGACCCAGGTCTGGACCAGATCTAATCCAGGAATAAAAGGTCGTGGTTTTCACTCACGGTTTTCAAAATAAAATCGGTGGAAGTCGAGTCCTTCAACCAGGTTTCCCAGAGCCTCGGGTTCGAAGGCCGTCACAGCAGGATCACACATCTTACTGTAACACACACACACGTGTTTAAATACACACACACTTTTAAACACACACGTTTAAACACACACACACACGTTACACACATCAGGACTGAACCTGGTCTAAACATTAAATATGAAGTGAATCAAACGCACGTGTAGCTCTCGAAGTCTCCGTTGCTGATGGCCTCGATGAGCTGCTCCGTCACTCGGATGATGTCCTGTTTACGAGCTGAAAAACAAACATACATCTCCTTTAAACGCCCTGCTTCACAACAAACTCCTGCTTCTACATTTGTGTGAAACTATCATGTATACTTCCATCAGGTTTTTTGGTCGTGTGAGGTTAAAGCAGGCGTGTGCGTGTGTGTGTGCACGTGCACGTGCGTGTGCGCGTGGGTGTGTGTGTGTGTGTGTGTGGGTGCAGTACCCCGCGTGTCCTCATCCTCGATGGTGGTGTTGGTGCTCTCAGACGACTCCTGAAACACACATCAGAGTCATCAGAGGATCGTGTACACGTCAGAACTGCAGAGTATTCAGCTCTTTTTACTTGAATAATACTAAAGTGGTGTGTGTGTGTGTGTGTGTGTGTGATAGAAATCGATGTTTAGAAAAGTGAAAAATCCTTTAGTGCGTCTGGGCTGTTAAAGGTCACATCATGAGCTGGAGTCTGTTATAGTTCAAATGTCCCCGTGGATCATTCTGTTTATTTACACTTTTGAAGTTGCAATATTTCATCTAAAACAATTTAATTAAAGAGTTCATATAACTGGACTGTGTAAAGAAGTTGCCAAAAGGCATATTCATATTTCATAAGAACATAAGGACTTTGTTTTTCCAATCCAATCCACTTTATTTCTGTTGCACATTTCACAAGCAATCAGATTCCGAGGTGCTGCACAAATACATAATAATAACAATAATAATAAAATGATAAAATAAACTACTAAAATAATACTAGTCTTAAAATAATAAAACCAGTAAAATAAAATAAAAAACAAAATCATAGAATAGAAATAAATAAACCAATAAACAAAATAAAACAATAAAACCAATAAAAACACATAAAAAAAAATAATAAAAAAACACAGAGGAGCACACAACTCACACAGTGTTAAAACCTAGAGAATAAAAGTGGGTCTTAAGACAAAATTAAAAACTTCAGAAGTGGGGTTTTTCTTCTTGAGGTGATAAGGATAAGAACAAAGTTTGCTTGGGGTCAGACATTTCATACTTCAGAAGATGTTCTGCGGCCGAACTGTCTTGCCCCCTCACTCTGCAACGCCCCCTCACACACTTTGCCCCGCCCACTCACTCGTATTTGTTAAGTTTGAATCTCTTCCGTCCGATTGACTTGAGCTTGACTTGTGTCGTTCGTTCATTCGTTTTTCAATATAAAACCAAAAATAAGAAATACAAAAAAACAAGTTTTCTTCATTATTTGTCTCCAAAATCAAAATGAAAAAACAGATAATGATTTGTTTTTTCAGTTTTCAATTTTGTGTTTAAATGAAAAATGAAAAAAAAAAAACAGATAACGGCCGTTTCCCATTTACGTGACTCCCGTAACTGTGATGCCAAAGTTTTGTGCCGCATACGGACTGAACCAGGACTGATCCAGGTCCGGGACCAGAGACCAGAGGCTCAGAGCCCGAGGCAGGGCCGGACCGCGAAGCCGAGGCTCGGACCCTATGGAGGCTCAAAGTGAAAGCTTGGAGTCCGCCCTGGTCCCGCCCAGGTCCCACTCTGGTCCCACTTTGGTCCCGGACCTGGATCAATCGTGGTTCAGTCCGTATGCAGCGCAAAACTTTGGCATCGCAGTCACGGGAGTCACGTAAATGGGAAACGGCCGTTATCTGTTTTTTTTCATTTTTCATTTAAACACAAAATCGAAAACTGAAAAAACAAATCATTATCTGTTTTTTCATTTTGGATTTGGAGACAAATATTGAAGAAAACAGTTGTTTTTTTGTATTTCTTATTTTTGGTTTTATATTGAAAAACGAATGAACGAATGACACACGGATTCAGGCCTCATGTTTTTGACATTTCTCTGTGTTTGGTGAAGGGTCCAGGTTTATATCAAGGATATTTCTTTTCGTCCTCCAGTCTGACCGCTCTTTTTTTGTGGTGACCTGCTTTTTGGCTTTCACAAACTTGTCTCAGAGATGACTCCAGACTTTTCTACACTGATTTTCTTCTTAACCTAAAATGTCGTCAATCTCCCTCCATGAATTTCTTTCCATTTGTCTCTTTATAGTGACTGAGCATCGTGTCGTACAGATGTTTGTATTTTCTCAACATTTCCTCCAGCCGAACTGCCCAACAAAGTTCTTATGTTCTTACGACGTATGAACAGGTCTTAAGTGAGAACGACGTCACTCACAGCGTTCAGATTCAGTCTAGTGAAGCTCATTGGGGCCGACGGTTATGAGGGGAATTAGAAGCCAGGCTCCATATTAGGAATCGAAATGTGCTAATGGACCAAATGTTGAAATAAAAACCCCAGGATCATGTAGAGTGGGTTAGAGAGTAAGTCAGTGGGAGCCAGAGTCGATGGAGCCGAGTCGCGCCTGTGCTCACTTCCTGTTTGGAACTCCCATTTACATAAACAGTCTCTGAATTGGACCCAGCTGATGCGCTCGCCGCCGCCACCTCTTTCCTCAGAAAAGACTGAAACAAAAAAGTAGAAAATAAAAGTGTTTTTTTTTACCTTGACGCCGTCGTTTTTCTTGCCTCCGCTTTTTCCTCCTGAACGCAGCACGAACAGAGACAGAAACACCAGAGTCAGAAAGAACGGGAGGAAGGCAGAGAAGAACAGCCACGCCATCCAGGACGCAGGAAGTACCACAAAAGTATCACAAAAGTACCACAAAAGTACCACAAAAAGTACCACAAAAAACAAAACAATCTACACAAAAAACTGACAAAAAACTGACTCACAATGAGACTTAAATAAAAAAAAATTAAATAAAAATCAAATCCACAGAGGATGAAGAAGATCTGTTGTAATCCTGGTTTAGTCCGAGTTTAGGCCTGGTCTAGACTTGTGTAGACCAGATTTAGACCAGGTTTAGTCCTCAGTGTTTTAGTCCCCGTGTTTAGTCCTGTTGTAGTCCAGTTTGAGTCCTGGTTTAGACCCGGTTCAGTCCAGTCCTTCTGTCTGTTGTCACATGGTGTACATAGCAGCAGATCAAGTGTCCCAGGCTCCGCCCCCTCAGGGTCCGGGCCTGGACCAGATCTAGACTTTGGTCCAGATTTAGGCCAAAGTGCAAAGGAAGTCCCTCTGGAGTCCCACGCCTGGTCTAAGTTTGGATCCTGGTCTAAGTTTAGTTTAAAAACACTTTCCCTTTCTCTCCCTGGACTCCACTTTGACCCCTGAGTCCAGGTTTAGTCCAGGTTGAGTCCAGGTTTAGTCCAGGTTTAGTCCCAGCTCTTATCTCTGGTTTAACTTGGATCCTAGTTTGGTCTACCCTGGTCTCACTTTGGACCCCATTGTAATCTTCCAGTCCAGTTTAAGTTTAGTTTTAGTCCAGGTTTGGTTCTGGTTCAGTCCAGGTTCAGTCCATGTTTAGTCCATGTTTAGTCCTGGTTTAGTCCTGGTTTAGTCCTGGTTTAGTCCAGTTTTTGTCCAGATTCAGTCCAGATTGATTCCAGTTTTAGTCCAGTTTTAGTCCAGGTTCAGTCCAGTTTTAGTTCAGTTTTAGTCCAGGTTCGATCCAGTTTTAGTCCAGTTTTAGTCCAGGTTCAGTTCAGTTTTAGTCCAGGTTCAGTCCAGTTTTAGTCCAGGTCCAGTCCAGTTTCAGTCCAGTTTTAGTCCAGTTTTAGTCCAGTTTTAGTCCAGTTTTAGTCCAGTTTTAGTCCAGTTTTAGTCCAGGTCCAGTGCAGTTTCAGTCCAGTTTTAGTCTAGGTTCAGTCCAGTTTTAGTCCAGTTTTAGTCCAGGTTCAGTCCAGTTTCAGTCCAGTTTTAGTCCAGTTTTAGTCCAGGTTCAGTTCAGTTTTAGTCCAGGTTCAGTCCAGTTTTAGTCCAGTTTTGGTCCAGGTTCAGTCCAGTTTCAGTCCAGGTTCAGTCCAGTTTTAGTTCAGTTTTAGTCCAGGTTCAGTTCAGTTTTGGTCCAGGTTCAGTCCAGTTTCAGTCCAGTTTTAGTCCAGTTTTAGTCCAGGTCCAGTGCAGTTTCAGTCCAGTTTTAGTCCAGTTTTAGTTCAGGTTCAGTCCAGTTTTAGTCCAGTTTTAGTCCAGGTTCAGTCCAGTTTCAGTCCAGTTTTAGTCCAGTTTTAGTCCAGTTTTAGTCCAGGTTCAGTTCAGTTTTAGTCCAGTTTTAGTCCAGGTTCAGTCCAGTTTTAGTCCAGTTTTAGTCCAGGTTCAGTTCAGTTTTAGTCCAGTTTTAGTCCAGGTTCAGTTCAGTTTTAGTCCAGGTTCAGTCCGGTTTCAGTCCAGTTTTAGTCCAGTTTTAGTCCAGGTTCCGTTCAGTTTTAGTCCAGGTTCAGTCCAGTTTTAGTCCAGTTTTAGTCCAGTTTTAGTCCAGGTTCAGTCCAGTTTTAGTCCAGTTTTAGTCCAGGTTCAGTTCAGTTTTAGTCCAGGTTCAGTCCAGTTTTAATCCAGTTTTAGTCCAGGTTCAGTCCAGTTTTAATCCAGTTTTAGTCCAGGTTCAGTCCAGTTTTAGTCCAGTTTTAGTCCAGGTTCAGTTCAGTTTTAGTCCAGGTTCAGTCCGGTTTCAGTCCAGTTTTAGTCCAGGTTCCGTTCAGTTTTAGTCCAGGTTCAGTCCAGTTTTAGTCCAGGTTCAGTCCAGTTTTAGTCCAGTTTTAGTCCAGGTTCAGTTCAGTTTTAGTCCAGGTTCAGTCCAGTTTTAATCCAGTTTTAGTCCAGGTTCAGTCCAGTTTTAGTCCAGTTTTAGTCCAGTTTTAGTCCAGGTTCAGTCCAGTCCTTCTGTCTGTTGTCACATGGTGTACATAGCAGCAGATCAAGTGTCCCAGGCTCCGCCCCCTCAGGGTCCGGGCCTGGACCAGATCTAGACTTTGGTCCAGATTTAGGCCAAAGTGCAAAGGAAGTCCCTCTAGAGTCCCACGCCTGGTCTAAGTTTGGATCCTGGTCTAAGTTTAGTTTAAAAACACTTTCCCTTTCTCTCCCTGGACTCCACTTTGACCCCTGAGTCCAGGTTTAGTCCAGGTTGAGTCCAGGTTTAGTCCAGGTTTAGTCCCAGCTCTTATCTCTGGTTTAACTTGGATCCTAGTTTGGTCTACCCTGGTCTCACTTTGGACCCCATTGTAGTCTTCCAGTCCAGTCTAAGTTTAGTTTTAGTACAGGTTTGGTTCTGGTTCAGTCCAGGTTCAGTCCATGTTTAGTCCATGTTTAGTCCATGTTTAGTCCATGTTTAGTCCTGGTTTAGTCCAGTTTTTGTCCAGATTCAGTCCAGATTGATTCCAGTTTTAGTCCAGTTTTAGTCCAGGTTCAGTCCAGTTTTAGTTCAGTTTTAGTCCAGGTTCGATCCAGTTTTAGTCCAGTTTTAGTCCAGGTTCAGTTCAGTTTTAGTCCAGGTCCAGTCCAGTTTCAGTCCAGTTTTAGTCCAGTTTTAGTAGTCCAGTCAGTCAGTTTTAGTCCAGTTTTAGTCAGGTTCAGTCCAGTTTTAGTCCAGTTTTAGTCAGTTCAGTCCAGTTTTCAGTCCAGTTTTAGTCCAGTTTTAGTCCAGGTTCAGTTCAGTCCAGTTTAGTCCAGTTTTCAGTCCAGTTTTCAGTCCAGTTTTAGTCCAGTTTTAGTCCAGGTTCAGTCCAGTTTCAGTCCAGTTTTAGTCCAGTTTTAGTCCAGGTTCAGTTCAGTTTTAGTCCAGGTTCAGTCCAGTTTTAGTCCAGTTTTAGTCCAGGTTCAGTTCAGTTTTGGTCCAGGTTCAGTCCAGTTTCAGTCCAGTTTTAGTCCAGGTTCAGTCCAGTTTCAGTCCAGTTTTAGTCCAGTTTTAGTCCAGGTTCAGTTCAGTTTTAGTCCAGGTTCAGTCCAGTTTTAGTCCAGTTTTAGTCCAGTTTTAGTCCAGTTTTGGTCCAGGTTCAGTCCAGTTTCAGTCCAGGTTCAGTCCAGTTTTAGTTCAGTTTTAGTCCAGGTTCAGTTCAGTTTTGGTCCAGGTTCAGTCCAGTTTCAGTCCAGTTTTAGTCCAGTTTTAGTCCAGGTCCAGTGCAGTTTCAGTCCAGTTTTAGTTCAGGTTCAGTCCAGTTTTAGTCCAGTTTTAGTCCAGGTTCAGTCCAGTTTCAGTCCAGTTTTAGTCCAGTTTTAGTCCAGGTTCAGTTCAGTTTTAGTTCAGTTTTAGTCCAGTTTTAGTCCAGGTTCAGTCCAGTTTTAGTCCAGTTTTAGTCCAGGTTCAGTTCAGTTTTAGTCCAGGTTCAGTCCAGTTTTAGTCCAGTTTTAGTCCAGGTTCAGTTCAGTTTTAGTCCAGTTTTAGTCCAGGTTCAGTTCAGTTTTAGTCCAGGTTCAGTCCGGTTTCAGTCCAGTTTTAGTCCAGTTTTAGTCCAGGTTCCGTTCAGTTTTAGTCCAGGTTCAGTCCAGTTTTAGTCCAGGTTCAGTCCAGTTTTAGTCCAGTTTTTCCAGGTTCAGTCAGTTTTAGTCCAGGTTCAGTCCAGTTTTAAGTCCAGTTTTTAGTCCAGGTTCAGTCCAGTTTTTAGTCCAGTTTTAGTCCAGGTTCAGTTCAGTTTTAGTCCAGGTTCAGTCCGGTTTCAGTCCAGTTTTAGTCCAGGTTCCGTTCAGTTTTAGTCCAGGTTCAGTCCAGTTTTAGTCCAGGTTCAGTCCAGTTTCAGTCCAGTTTTAGTCCAGTTTTAGTCCAGGTTCAGTTCAGTTTTAGTCCAGGTTCAGTCCAGTTTAGTCCAGTTTTGGTCCAGGTTTCAGTCCAGTTTTAGTCCAGTTTTAGTTTTAGTCCAGGTTCAGTTCAGTTTTCAGTCCAGGTTCAGTCCAGTTTTAGTCCAGTTTCAGTCCAGGTTCAGTTCAGTTTTGGTCCAGGTTCAGTCCAGTTTCAGTCCAGTTTTAGTCCAGGTTCAGTCCAGTTTCAGTCCAGTTTTAGTCCAGTTTTAGTCCAGGTTCAGTCCAGTTTTAGTCCAGTTTTAGTCCAGTTTTAGTCCAATTTTGGTCCAGGTTCAGTCCAGTTTCAGTCCAGGTTCAGTCCAGTTTTAGTCCACTTTTAGTCCAGGTTCAGTTCAGTTTTGGTCCAGGTTCAGTCCAGTTTCAGTCCAGTTTTAGTCAGTTCAGTTTTAGTCCAGGTTCAGTCCAGTTTTAGTCCAGTTTTAGTCCACTTTTAGTCCACTTTTAGTCCAGGTTCAGTCCAGTTTTAGTCCAGTTTTAGTCCAGGTTCAGTTCAGTTTTAGTCCAGGCTCAGTCCAGTTTTAGTCCAGGTTCAGTTCAGTTTTAGTCCAGTTTTAGTCCAGGTTCAGTTCAGTTTTAGTCCAGGTTCAGTCCGGTTTCAGTCCAGGTTCAGTCCAGGTTCAGTTCAGTTTTGGTCCAGGTTCAGTCCAGTTTCAGTCCAGTTTTAGTCCAGTTTTAGTCCAGTTTTAGTCCAGGTTCCGTTCAGTTTTAGTCCAGGTTCAGTCCAGTTTTAGTCCAGGTTCAGTCCAGTTTTAGTCCAGGTTCAGTTCAGTTTTAGTCCAGGTTCAGTCCAGTTTTAGTCCAGTTTTAGTCCAGGTTCAGTCCAGTTTTAGTCCAGTTTTAGTCCAGGTTCAGTTCAGTTTTAGTCCAGGTTCAGTCCGATTTCAGTCCAGTTTTAGTCCAGGTTCCATTCAGTTTTAGTCCAGGTTCAGTCCAGTTTCAGTCCAGTTTTAATCCAGTTTTAGTCCAGGTTCAGTTCAGTTTTAGTCCAGGTTCAGTCCAGTTTTAGTCCAGTTTTAGTCCAGTTTTGGTCCAGGTTCAGTCCAGTTTCAGTCCAGTTTTAGTCCAGTTTTAGTCCAGTTTTAGTCCAGGTTCAGTTCAGTTTTAGTCCAGGTTCAGTCCAGTTTTAGTCCAGTTTCAGTCCAGGTTCAGTTCAGTTTTGGTCCAGGTTCAGTCCAGTTTTAGTCCAATTTTAGTCCAGTTTTGGTCCAGGTTCAGTCCAGTTTCAGTCCAGGTTCAGTCCAGTTTTAGTCCAGTTTTAGTCCAGGTTCAGTTCGGTTTTGGTCCAGGTTCGGTCCAGTTTCAGTCCAGTTTTAGTCAGTTCAGTTTTAGTCCAGGTTCAGTCCAGTTTTAGTCCAGTTTTAGTCCAGGTTCAGTCCAGTTTTAGTCCAGTTTTAGTCCAGGTTCAGTTCAGTTTTAGTCCAGGTTCAGTCCAGTTTTAGTCCAGGTTCAGTCCAGTTTTAGTCCTGGTTTAGTCCCAGTCTGGTGTGTGTTTGTATATCTGATCTCTCTGGTCTAAATTTGGTTCCTTGTCTAAGGCCCTGACCCGGTCTCTCTCAGGGTGTGTGTGTGTGTGTGTTGGGGTGTGTGTGTGTGTGTGTGTGTGTGTGTGTGTCTGTGTGTCTGTGTGTGTCTGTGTGTGTGTCTGTGTGTGTGTGTCTGTGTGTGTGTGTGTGTCTGTGCGTCTGTGTGTGTGTCTGTGTGTGTGTGTCTGTGTGTGTGTGTTGGGGTGTGTGTGTGTGTGTGTGTGTCTGTGTGTGTGTGTCTGTGTGTGTGTCAGGGTGTGTGTGTCTGCGTGTGTCTGTGTGTGTGTCAGTGTGTGGGTGTGTGTGTGTGTGTCACTTTCATTTTTGAGTCCCCCCTCCTTTTACTCCCTGGGCTGACTCCCTCCCCCTTCAGAGCTCTATCACACATATTTATCATGCGTCACATCAGGTTTGTGCAGTCGTTGTGTACAGTTGTGTGTCATGTTGTTGTGTATTTATGGATGATTGTCGCGTGGGAGCCTGGGGGACGTGGGCTTGTGGGCGGAGCCTTGTACAGACTCGTACTGCAGCTGACTGACGGGGTTTTAGTTTAGGGTTTGACTCACATTCCAGATGAAGCTAAATTTAAGTCTGAGCTAAAGCCTCAGCCTGTTTAGTCCTAAGTGTTCCACTGTTTAGTCCTGGTAGTCCGTTCAGTCCCTGGTTAGTCCTGGTTCAGTCCTAGTCCTGGTTTAGTCCTTTCTAGTCCGTCCTGGTTAGTCCTGGTTTAGTCCTGGTAGTCCTAGTCCTGGTTCAGTCCTGGTTTAGTCCTTAGTCCTGGTTCCAGTCCTGGTTTAGTCCTGGTCCTGGTTCAGTCCTGGTTAGTTAGTAGTCCTGGTTTAGTCCTGTTAAGTCCTGGTTTAGTCCTGGTTTAGTCCTGGTTCAGTCCTAGTCCTGGTTTAGTCCTTAGTCCTGGTTAGTCCTGGTTCAGTCCTGGTTTAGTCCTTTAGTCCTGGTTAGTCCTAGTTTAGTTTGACCCTGGTCCTGGTTCAGTCCTAGTTCAGTCCTGGTTTTAGTCCTGGTTCCTAGTCCTGGTTAGTCCTGGTTAGTCCTGGTTTAGTCCTGGTTCAGTCCTGGTTAGTCCTAGTCCTGGTTTAGTCCTGGTTTAGTCCTGGTTTAGTCCTGGTTAGTCCTGGTTCAGTCCTCAGTCCTGGTTTAGGTTTAGTCCTGGGTTTAGTTTCCTGGTTTCAGTTAGTCCGGTTTAGTCCTGGTTTAGTCCTGGTTTAGTCCTGGTTTAGTCCTGGTTTAGTTAGTCCTAGTTCAGTCCTGGTTTAGTCCTAGTCCTGGTTTAGTCCTGGTTTAGGTTAGTCCTGGTTTAGTCCTGGTTCCAGTCCTGGTTTAGTCCTGGTTTAGTTTAGTCCTGGTTTAGTCCTGGTTTAGTCCTTTAGTCCTGGTTTAGTCCTGGTCCTGGTTTAGTCCTGGTTCAGTCCTACCTGGTTTAGTCCTGGTTTAGTCCTGGTTTAGTCCTGGTTTAGTCCTGTAGTCCTGGTTTAGTCCTGTAGTCCTGGTTTAGTCCTGGTTTAGTCCTGGTTTAGTCCTGGTTTAGTCCTGGTTTAGTCCTGGTTTAGTCCTGGTTTAGTCCTGGTGTAGTCCTGGTTTAGTCCTGGTTCAGTCCTAGTGTAGTCCTGGTTTAGTCCTGGTGTAGTCCTGGTTTAGTCCTGGTGTAGTCCTGGTTTAGTCCTGGTTCAGTCCTAGTGTAGTCCTGGTTTAGTCCTGGTGTAGTCCTGGTTTAGTCCTGGTTCAGTCCTAGTGTAGTCCTGGTTTAGTCCTGGTTCCTGAAACTGACCTGAGAAGTTCCTCGTGGCCAACATGGTCGTCAGGATGGCTCCCTGAGGAAAGGAAATGAGGAGAGAAGGAGGCAAGGAAGTAAGGAAACAAGGAAGCCAGGAACTGAGGAGTCAAGGAGGCAAGGAAGTGAGGAGTCAAGGAAGCAAGAAAGTGAGGAAACGAGGAAGCAAGGAAGCAGAAAAGAGTGAAGAAAGAGAGAAAGACGAGAGAAAAGGAGGAGAGAGAGTTTGTACCTTGAGTTTTCGTCGAGCGTTGAATTTCTTGAGACACTCGACGGTTTCCTGTCGGTGCATACAGGACGCCACGGTGGAGCGATGCTGAAGAGAGAACGAGAGAAGGAGAGAGGGTAAATATGAACGAAAGAGAGAAAGAAATGATAAAAAAAATAGGAAAAAACACAAACATTTTAGGAAGGAAATTACAACAAAAGAATCAAAATACAAAAAAAAAAAAAAAGAAAAATTATGAAAATTGAGGGGAAAAAATGACAGAAAATTTAGGAAAAAGAGTCTAACAGAGTCTACAGAGTCCAGATCTAAACCAGGACTAAACAAAGTCTAAACCAGTTCTAAACCCGGTCTAAAGCAGGTCTAAACCTGGTCTAAACTTGGTCTAAACTCGGTCTAAACCCAGTTTAAAGAAGGTCCAAACTAGGTCTAAACCCAGTTAAAACCCCGTCTAACCCCGGTCTAAATCTGGTCTAAACCCTGTCTAAACTTGGTCTAAACCCGGTCTAAACCCTGGTCTAAACCTGGTCTAAACCCGGTCTAAACTTGGTCTAAACCCGGTCTAAACCCTGGTCTAAACCTGGTCTAAACCCAGTCTAAACTTGGTCTTAACTCAGTCTAAACTCGGTCTAAACCCAGTCTAAACCCGGTCAAACCCCCGTCTAAACCTGGTCAAAACCTGGTCTAAACCTGGTCTAAACCCGGTCTAAACCCGGTCTAAACCCGGTCTAAACCCGGTCTAACCCCGGTCTAACCCCGGTCTAAACCTGGTCTAAACCCAGTTTAATCCCGGTCTAACACGTCTAAACTCGGTCTAAACCCGGTCTAAACCCGGTCTAAATTCGGTTTAAACTCGGTCTAAATCCAGTCCAAACTTGGTCTAAGCCTAGTCTAAACCAGTTCTAAACCCGGTCTAAACCCATTCTAAACCAGTTCTAAACCCGGTCTAAACTAGTTCTAAACCCGGTCTAAACCCGGTCTATGTCCGTGTGGGTGCTCACAGAGATCCAGGGGTGCTTGAGGGCCTCGGCGGCGGTGATGCGTTTGGACGGATTTATGGTCAACATCTTATTGATCAGATCTTTGGCCTCAGGAGTCACCGTGTCCCACTCAGGAGAAGGAAACTACAAAATAAAACTACAGTAAACTAGAGGAAACACAAACCTTTCAAAATAAAAGTCACCGTGTCCCACTCAGGAGAAGGAAACTACAAAATAAAACTACAGTAAACTAGAGGAAACACAAACCTTTCAAAATAAAAGTCACCGTGTCCCACTCAGGAGAAGGAAACTACAAAATAAAACTACAATAAACTACAGGAAACAGAAACCTTTCAAAATAAAAGTCACCGTGTCCCACTCAGGAGAAGGAAACTACAAAATAAAACTACAATAAACTACAGGAAACACAAACCTTTCAGAATAAAAGTCACCGTGTCCCAACCAGGAGAAGGAAACTATGATGATTGACAGCCATAATAATCCAATATGGTGCAGACAGGTGCGCTCCGGACTTTGAAACAGAGAGGACATTTGTGCTCAGACCACGCCTTTTCCCTTTTCTCCAGACACGGTGGGACATGGAGGTGCCCGGCGGTGCCAGGTGGGGGTGGGGATGAGAGGGGCTCCTCACGTCCTGTCCGTAGACGCCAGTGTCTGCACTTGTCACGTAAAAACCTCCATCTGACTCATCGGCGCTGTTAGTCCATCCATCCATTTTCTTCCTCTTATCTAAGCAGGGACTCCCAGACTTCCTTCACCCCAGACACTTCCTCCAGCTCCTCCGGGGGACCCCGAGGAGTTCCCAGGCCAGTCCAGAGACATAGTCCCTCCAGTGTGTCCTGGGTCTTCCCCGGGGCCTCCTCCTGGTGGGACATGAACACCTCCTGAGGGAGACGCCCAGGAGACATCAGAACAGACGCTCCTCAACTGGTTCCTCTTGACGTGGAGGAGCAGCGGCTCTACTCCGAGCTCCTCCTGTGTGACTGTGGCTCCTCACTCTATCTCTAATGGAGCGCCCAGACACCCTGAGAAGGAAACTCATTTCGAGTGCTTGTATTGGTGATCTCGTCCTTTCGGTCATTACCCAGAGCTCATGACCAGAGGTGAGAGGAGGAACATAGACTGACGATAAATCGAGAGCTTTGAGATACTTGAACACTTGAGGCAGGGACTCTTCACCCACCCGGAGAGGGTAGTCCAACCTGAAAACTCAAATGTCCTGACCGTAGTTGATCCTAAAGAGGCCGATAAAGATACAACTTTGACCCAAAAGTCAGATTTATAACAAATATGCACGAAAATGTCAAAATAAGGCCAGAGACAGAGAGACACTTCTATTTTAGACACATTTACACAGACAATCAGGACAAAAAAGTTATTTTGGTGTTTAGTGGCTCTTTAAACTACAGGAAAAAGAAACTTTTCAGAATAAAATGTCCACAGAAGGACAAGTTAAAGCTCCACTGCGGGACATTTCCTCACAGTAGGACAGGTTAAAGCTCCACTACGGGACATTTCCTCACAGTAGGACAGGTTAAAGCTCCACTGCGGGAAATTTCCTCACAGTAGGACAGGTTAAAGCTCCACTGCGGGACATTTCCTCACAGTAGGACAGGTTAAAGCTCCACTGCGGGAAATTTCCTCACAGTAGGACAGGTTAAAGCTCCATTGTGGGACATTCCCTGGCCTCATGCTGGACTCACGTCGTAGGCTCCGGCTTTGATCTGCTGATAGAGTCTGTGCTGGTCCTCGTCCCAGAATGGAGGATATCCAACCAGCAGAATGTACAAGATCACACCTGAAACACAGACAGAACTGAACCAGGACTGGACCAGGACTGAACCAGGACTGAACCAGGTCTAAATCAGGACTGAGACGTACCACAGGCCCATAGATCCACTGCTTTGCCGTAGGGGTCTTTCCTCAGGACCTCAGGGGATAGGTACCCAGGGGTCCCCGCGAAGCCTGAACAAAAACACAAAATGAAACAGAAACAGACTTTATTATTGTAATTTTCCCATAAAATGTAAACTACAGTAATGGACCACATTTCCCAGAAGCCTCTGCTCACCGAACCAGGCCTGCTGGTCTCCCTCCACCTCGATGGCCAAACCGAAGTCGGCCAGTTTCACCGCCGCACCTTTGGACTTCGACGCCAAGAGGAGGTTCTCCGGCTACAAACAGAACAGAGGAGGGGTATTACAGAGGGGTATTTACTGCTGTGGGGTATTACAGAGGGGTATTTATTACTGCTGTGGGGTATTACAGAGGGGTATTTACTGCTGTGGGGTATTACAGAGGGGTATTTACTGCTGTGGGGTATTACAGAGGGGTATTTACTGCTGTGGGGTATTACAGAGGGGCATTTACTGCTGTGGGGTATTACAGAGGGGTATTTATTACTGCTGTGGGGTATTACAGAGGGGTATTTACTGCTGTGGGGTATTACAGAGGGGTATTTACTGCTGTGGGGTATTACAGAGGGGTATTTATTTGTGTGTGACAAATTTTTTGTATTAATCCGCAACACATGATCCGGAATTTTTCATTTTGTTATTTTGTCCCTAAATCAAGAGACAAATGCAAATAACGAACCAATCAGACGCCTTCATTCCCCGTTGTTGTTTTTGTTGTTGTTAGTGTTAGCAACAGGTTTGACTGACACCTACAGTGCTTTGTTGCTGAGCAATGGTGCATTCAATCATCCATTCGACTCGGAGGTTCGAGGACGTTGCCTAGCAACATGTACTGACACGCCCCTTTTCCTCAGACGGCGGTGTTGTGTTGGTTAGTGTTGTGGTGATCGTTGTTGTGCCCGATGTTGTGGTCAGTGTTTTGGTGGTCGATGTTGTGTCAGTGTTTTGGTGGTCGATGTTGTGGTCAGTGTTTTGGTGGTCGATGTTGTGGTCAGTGTTTTGGTGGTCGATGTTGTGGTCAGTGTTTTGGTGGTCGATGTTGTGGTCAGTGTTTTGGTGGTCGATGTTGTGGTCAGTGTTTTGGTGGTCGATGTTGTGGTCAGTGTTTTGGTGGTCGATGTTGTTGTCAGTGTTTTGGTGGTCGATGTTGTGGTCAGTGTTTGGTGGTCGATGTTGTGGTCAGTGTTTTGGTGGTCGATGTTGTGGTCAGTGTTTTGGTGGTCGATGTTGTGGTCAGTGTTTTGGTGGTCGATGTTGTGGTCAGTGTTTTGGTGGTCGATGTTGTGGTCATTGTTTTGGTGGTCGATGTTGTGGTCAGTGTTTTGGTGGCCGATGTTGTGGTCAGTGTTTTGGTGGTCGATGTTGTGGTCAGTGTTTTGGTGGTCGATGTTGTGGTCAGTGTTTTGGTGGTCGATGTTGTGGTCAGTGTTTTGGTGGTCGATGTTGTGGTCATTGTTTTGGTGGTCGATGTTGTAGTCAGTGTTTTGGTGGTCGATGTTGTGGTCAGTATTTTGGTGGTCGATGTTGTAGTTAGTGTTTTGGTGGTCGATGTTGTGGTCAGTGTTTTGGTGGTCGATGTTGTAGTTAGTGTTGTGGTGATCGTTGTTGTGGCCGATGTTGTAGTTAGTGTTTTGGTGGTCGATGTTGTGGTCAGTGTTTTGGTGGTCGATGTTGTGGTCAGTGTTTTGGTGGTCGATGTTGTAGTTAGTGTTTTGGTGGTCGATGTTGTGGTCAGTGTTTTGGTGGTCGATGTTGTAGTTAGTGTTGTGGTGATCGTTGTTGTGGCCGATGTTGTAGTCAGTGTTTTGGTGGTCGATGTTGTGGTCAGTGTTTTGGTGGTCGATGTTGTGGTCAGTGTTTTGGTGGTCGATGTTGTGGTCAGTGTTTTGGTGGTCGATGTTGTGGTCAGTGTTTTGGTGGTCGATGTTGTGGTCAGTGTTTTGGTGGTCGATGTTGTGGTCAGTGTTTTGGTGGTCGATGTTGTGGTCATTGTTTTGGTGGTCGATGTTGTAGTCAGTGTTTTGGTGGTCGATGTTGTGGTCAGTGTTTTGGTGGTCGATGTTGTAGTCAGTGTTTTGGTGGTCGATGTTGTAGTTAGTGTTTTGGTGGTCGATGTTGTGGTCAGTGTTTTGGTGGTCGATGTTGTGGTCAGTGTTTTGGTGGTCGATGTTGTAGTTAGTGTTTTGGTGGTCGATGTTGTGGTCAGTGTTTTGGTGGTCGATGTTGTAGTTAGTGTTGTGGTGATCGTTGTTGTGGCCGATGTTGTAGTCAGTGTTTTGGTGGTCGATGTTGTGGTCAGTGTTTTGGTGGTCGATGTTGTGGTCAGTGTTTTGGTGGTCGATGTTGTGGTCAGTGTTTTGGTGGTCGATGTTGCGGTCAGTGTTTTGGTGGTCGATGTTGCGGTTAGTGTTTTGGTGGTCGATGTTGTAGTCAGTGTTTTGGTGGTCGATGTTGTAGTCAGTGTTTTGGTGGTCGATGTTGTGGTCGTCTGTGTGTCCTGATTTAGTCCTGGTTTAGTGCTGGTTTTGTCCTACTATAGTCCTAGTACAGTAGTACTTTAGTCCTAATATGGTCCTGATTTAGACCTGGTTTAGTCCTGGTTTAGACCTGGGTTAGTCCTGGTTTAGACCTGGTTTAGTCCTGGTTTAGACCTGGTTAAGTCCTGGTTTAGACCCGGTTAAGTCCTGTTTAGATCAGACTGGTCACCTGGGGCATTTCTCTTATAAATCTGGGACAGATGTCTGCTTTTGTCTAAATGTGGCCTGACCTCTTCCTGACGCTGTAGTGTGTGTGGAGTTTAAGTTCCTCTGTGTGTAAAAGTGAAGCTGTAACAGAACCCTTCACATGGAGTCCACAAGAAACGATAAAACTGTTAACTCTGCTGGTTTGTTGTGGACACAGTTCTGACCTTGAGATCGCGATGGACCACTCCCATCTGATGACAGTGCAGCACGGCCTCCAGGATCTGCTGGATACAGTGACTGAGGGGTCAGGGGTCACACACAAAGGGGTCACACACACACAGAAGGGTCACACGCACACACAGAGGTCACACAGGGGTCAGGGTTAATGTAAGCGTGTGTTAATGTTTGTGTGCATGAGAGAAGAGGAGACAGAGGCACATACCTGGCGTCGGCTTCGCTGTAGTACTCTCGTGCTACGATGTCCTCAAACAGCTCTCCTCCAGTCACTCTGAAAACACCAAACATGAGATCCGGCTCTTTCCGCTCCAATACCGATACCGATACTACGGCCTTAAACACCAAATACCAGAGACTGAAAACTCCATTTATGTCGAGAAAAGTAAAATAAACTCAAACCAGCCTGAGCCAAAAGTGACAGAGCAGTGATTAAGTTGTGTAACCTGTTTGAGAGCGACTAGTGGCCGCTCCAGGTACTGCAGAAACTATTCTCCCAAAGAACCTCACCTCTGACCTCTGACCTCTGACCTCTGTCCGCTGACCTGACCACAGAGCACAGTGGAACTTTATATGAATCCAAACTGCCCGTGTTCTGGTGTGTATTGGGCTTTGTAGGATTTAGCCGCGGAACTCAAAAGGCCTATTCATATTTCATGAGAACATACGGTACAAACTTTGTTCTTGCACCCAGACATAGACTAGGCCTGTAACGATAACAGATTTTGCTGGACAATTAATTGACCAAGAATTTATTGCGATAAACGATAGTATTGACATTTTGAGACCAATTTCAATTATTATAATGACCATGAAATAAAAACGCAAATATACCCTTTCAAAACTTTACTTTCTAAAGAACATTTAACACAGGAACTGTAAGACAAACAAAAACAACAGGCCTAAATAACACAGACTTAACACAGGACTAGTCTAATATGTCTAACTCACAGTGAGGATTTGTTAACAAAAATGCACTTGAATAAACCACTGTTGAACTAAATACAACCAAAACATTAAATAAAATGGATTATTAAGTCTCTGTAACAAAATTGTCCTTAAAACTGGAATATTGTGTCTCGTCTCTCTGTGGCTGCTGCTGTGGCCTCGTCATTTTGGTCTTTAAGTGTTTGTATTAACTCGCGACACAGGATGCTATTTTACTATGAGGGAGTCTCTGTCCCGTCTGGTGTCGTGCTGGTTTCTTGTGCGATTTCGGGCTCTTCCCGGGGTCTAGACTAATTCTGTCGCTCGGGTTTGGGTTTATATTGGCTGTTGGGGTTTGAGACATTTCTTCTCGTCGTTTGCGCTCGCTGCATTTGACGCACGTGGTTGTTAACACGTGTCCCGCTGACCAGTGTTGATTCGGCATCGTGACTTGTTTTGGCGCTCGGCGATGAACTGTTTTGTCACTCTGACAGCGGCGCTTGTGTTGCTAGCGCACCGCACAGACAGCGGAAAGCACGTGTCCAACACAGCGCACGTTGGTTCAAGCGTCATTACTATTGTTAAACGAGACGAGTCAAACGATAGTAGCTTCTAACATTCAGTTGGTAACACTTTATAATAACTACACCTTATTTAGCCTTAATAAAGCATGAACAAAGACTTAATTAATAATGAGTCACACTTAGTAACTACTTAATTACTACCTGAATTAGCACTTAACTTGCACTTAATTCACCTGTGCTGTAAATAGTTACTCATAAGTATTTCTTACTTAATTACTCATGAACTAACCATTTGTGTGTGCATTTGTAAATGTATACTTAAATCCAAATTTGAGCATTTAGTAATGATTATTAAGCCATGAGAGAATGATTTACTAGTAATGCATTATTGTTTCTCTGGAATTTGACCAACCTTAACAAATACTTAATAAAGGATAATTCATCTTCACTTTAGAAAAGCTCTCAGAAAGACTTAACTAACAGATAACAGCTGCCTGAATGAACATTGCATTGCATTATTAGTAAATCATTCTCTCATAGCTTACTAATCATTAATAAATGCTCAAATGTGAACTTAAATATGCATTTGTAAACATGCAAAGGGTTAGTTCATGAGTAATTAAGAAGTATTGAGTTACTATTTACAACACAGGCGAATTAAGTGCAAGTTAAGTGCTAATTCAGGTAGTAATTAAGTAGTTACTAAGTGTGAATCATTATTAATTAAGTCTTTGTTCATGCTTTATTAAGGCTAAATAAGGTGTAGTTATTATAAAGTGTTACCGTTCAGTTTCGTTGAGAGTGAGAGAGAGCGAGGAAAACAAACAAGCTGCAAGTAGAATTTATCGCGGCCAGAAAAGTTATCGAGCTCGTTAAAATTTATCGTACGATTGATTAATTTATTTATTATCATTACAGGCCTAAAACAGACCTCACAAAACAACCTGATCTTCGATTCACCTCCCAGACTTTATTATATGTCCAGGAGAGAGACGGAGAGAAAGAGGGAGAGAGGAGAGAAGAGGAGAGAAAAGGAGAGAGAGATGCGCGGTAATGGCCAATATCTTATGTCAGCATTGGCGCTGATATCAGATACCAGAATAATAAACATGAACTTATATTTATAACATCACATTAGTCATTCAAATGTAACTCCTGAGCTCAGACACAAGTGAAAGTGAAAGTGTCTCACAGGTCAAAGATGAGGTAGTGATGGTTCTCCTCAGAAATGCTGTCGTGGAGTCGCACTGAAAAGACAAAACACAGTTCAACTTTGATTACAGACGTACATGGGTTTTATCTTCAGCGTTTGGAAAAACAGAAACACATTTAACTTTCCCGTAACACTCTGACCCCCCCCCCCATTTACACTCAGCGCCACAGGTCCTGACGAGGCCGGACGTGAACGCTCCTCTCACACCTCCACCCAGACTCTCACTCCGCTCACAGAGAAAAGCCTCTGCTCCCCCACGACGCCGTGTCGCTCTTCACACCACAGACTGTTTATGTAACTGGAGCGAACGTGCTAGCCGCCACGCTCCAAACAGGAAATGAGCATGGGCGCACTTCCGGCTCCACTGACTCTGGCTCCCACTGATGTTACATTAGAACATTGTGGCTTTTCTCTCTGTACCTGCTGCTGTGAGCCTCGATGTTCTGGTTTTAAAATGTTCATATAAACCCGCTCCACATGATCCTGGGGTTTTTATTTCAACATTTTGTCCATTCAGAAATTCCTGTTCCTGATATGGAGCTGGTCTGTAACCGACGGCATCAGTGAGCTTCATTTGACTGGAGCTGAACGCTGTGGGCGACGTCACTCAGTCCATTTTACACAGTCTGTGGTTCAGGACTTTCACTCTCAGCAGAGTCCAGTGTCCTGACTAAAACACACTTCAGATTATATTTATATCTTATTATATTTAAGTTTTTATATACCGAAACCTAACACCTAACCCTAGAAAAAAATAAATAAAAATAAATCATTTTTTTTCAAGATTTCAAATATTACTTCCTGGTGGTAAATCATTAGTCTGATTCATCAGCCGGTTTCCCTTTGTGGAAACCGTCTGACCTCGCAGTGTTAGATTTTGTTCGCTCGACGGTAGGCAGACACTTTTTTTTTTTTTATTATTTATATTATTTGTCAAGTTTAAGGGATTGGATACCCAGCACATCCACAACAAGACAGACTTAACTAAACACGCATACAAAAAAAATAAAAATAATAAAATAAAAAAAAATAAGTAAAATAATAATAATAATAATAATAATACACATAAAAATAAATAAAATTAATAAATAAGTAAATAATAATAATCATAATAATCATAATAACAAAAAAGGGGAGGGGGGTTAGGGAGGGTGTGTGTAGGTACAGAGTTTCTCAATGCAGTGACACAAACATTTACGTCCACATATATTTTGACATTGTCCAAGAGTATGTATTTTACTGTGCTTTGTCCAAATGGGGTTTTGCCACAGTCCACAGGTCAACAGTGTGTTTGTTTTTTGTGTCCAACGACTGAGCAGCTGCTCCATAGAAATTAAATCTAAAAAGTCTTTGTACCAGTTGTCTATCTCACAAGCACTTATGTTTGCGTTCCTTCCAGTTCATTATAATAATACGTTTTGCTTTTTTTATTTAACCAGTCGCTGCTGTTTGTTTGTAATGTGTCACTAACAGTACTAACTGGTATATTAAGCTTTTCCAAAATCCCGTAGGAAGAAGGACAATAACGTCTTTCTCCTTGATAAAATTCACCAAACATTCTCTTTGTTCCGGTTTTAAATCCTCGATCTCGGGAATCGTTGACAACACAGAATGTATGTTTCTTCTCTGATTGGCTGGTGCCCGAACTCACACTTCCGGGATTCTTGTAAACCAGACGTCTAGTGTTTTCTGATTCCTGATCTGGTCGCTGGAGAGAAATGAAATTGAGTGGAGGCACTAGGTGGCACCAGCTAGACAAGTAAATCATGACATCACACTGGGGATTTCCAATAACTGTTACCATAGCAACACTGAGCCAAAACTCCTCTAATGTCACAGAGGTTATGATGTGACAAATACAAATATAAGAAAAATCCTTTATTCTGTTGAAATCATGTTTCAATTGTCAGAATTATTATTTTTTTTTTGCATGCTGGGAAATATTTTGGTCGGAGGCAAGAAACAGGATAGCAGTCAAACACAGTGCGTAACCTCGCGTATTTCTCCCCGATAATGGTAAATTCCTGCTGCATTATCGGATGCACAAATAGAAGCATGGAAGAAGGAAAATGTCTTTTTCATATTCCGAGTGAAAAGATCCGCTAACGGTGAATTAAATGGCTTTCAAACATCCACAGAGCGTTTTCATCTTTTCTGCTGTGAATGGCCCAGGAGTTTCCACCAAGTCATTGTGGATATCACCGAAGTGAATATTTGTCCAGGTAGTTGGTGATTCCGACCAGAAATTTGGTTTGGTCCAAATTGAAAAGGGTGATTTGGCGTCCATCGATGCTTATGACCAATTTCTGGTCAAATGGTCTTGGGTCCTCTGCCGTGGAGAGTGGATAAATAACCAGGATCAGTACCCTTTACGTGCTTTCTTGCTCCGTCGGTCATGTTGAATTAGTGTTTCTTGCCACCGACCAAAATAATTCCCAGCATGCAACGCGTGCTTTTGTCAACAATGAAACTCGTTTATATAACTCTACTTCCTGTTTCATTTAAAAAAAAAATTTTTTAATTCACAAATTGCTTCTTGATTTGTGTAAAACAATAATTTAAAGAATAAGTAAGAATAAAAAGGGGGCGTGGCAATATCGATATCACAACATACTCGATACTCGATACTTGATACTTGATAATTGATATATTAAAACAGTGACACCATAGAGATCAAACTAGAATGTTTGTTTCTCTAGGTATTTTTGAGCCGTAAATCCACCTATACTTTAATAAACGTGAAGTAGAGCTGTTTAATGTCACACTGTGGAACATTTCAGGCAGAGCGACGACGTATCCATAGAAACAAGGAGGTACATACACAGTGCAGCTTTAAATAGAAAATTATGTGTATTTTTGGTTTACTCTGACTGAAATGATCTGACACACACGGGGAGGGCACCTGACACACACGGGGAGGGAGGGCATCTGACACACACGGGGAAGATACCTGACACACGGGGAGGGCACCTGACACACACGAGAAGGGCACCTGACACACACGGGAGGCTCTAGTGTATGTGATGTTGGATCTGCATACTGCGCGCTGCAGATTTCACTGTGGAGGAGGATTATTATGGGATGTCCTGCCCACACATTGCTCAGGTGTGTTACCTAGCAACAGAAACACGCGCCGGCTCCGCACAAATGAGAGCTCGAGAAAATAAAACACTTCTGCGGCCGAGACCGGGATGAGATTCACATGTGATTTTTGAACAAATGTGAGGGAGGGCATCTGACACACATGAGGAAGGAGGGAGGGCATCTGACACACGGGGAGGGAGAGAGGGCATCTGACACACTGACACGGAGGAGGGCATCTGACACACGGGGAAGGAGGGAGGGCATCTGACACACACGGGGAGGGAGGGAGGGCATCTGACACACACGGGGAAGGAGGGGAGGGCATCTGACACACACGAGGAGGAGGGAGGCATCTGACACACACGGGGAGGGAGGGAGGGCATCTGACACACACGGGGGGAGGGCATCTGACACACACGGGGGGAGGAGGGCATCTGACACACACGGGGAGGGAGGGCATCTGACACACACGGGAGGGAGGGGACTGAGAGGAGGGGGGGGCATCTGACACACACGAAGAGGGAGGGAGGGCATCTGACACACACGGGGAGGGAGGGAGGGCATCTGACACACACGGGGAAGGAGGGAGGGCATCTGACACACACGAGGAGGGAGGGAGGCATCTGACACACACGGGGAGGGAGGGCATCTGACACACACGGGGAGGGACGGAGGGCATCTGACACACACGGGGAGGGAGGAGGGCATCTGACACACACGGGAGGGAGGGCATCTGACACACACACGGGGAGGGAGGGCATCTGACACACACGGGGAGGAGGAGGCATCTGACACACACGAGGAGGGAGGGGGGGGCATCTGACACACGAAGAGGGAGGGAGGGCATCTGACACACACGAGGGAGGGGGAGGGAGGGCATCTGACACACACGAGGAGGGGAGGGAGGGAGGAGGGAGGGGACACACAGGGGAGGGAGGGCATCTGACACGAGGAGGGGGAGGGCATCTGCACACACACGGGAGGCATCTGACACGCGAGGGAGGGGGGGTATCTGACACAGGGAGGGCATCTGACACACATGGGGACATTAGAGACGCTGCTGTTACATAAGATGCACCTCCACCTGCCCACACACTCAGACTCTCTCCTGATTGGACGAGACACAGAGATACCACAGAGACATGGGAGGGCATCTGGTCTAAACCAGGACTAAACCAGGTCCAAAACAGGTCTAAACCAGGTCTAAACCAGGTCTAAACCAGGTCTAAACCAGGTCTAAAGCAGGTCCAAAGTTGGTCTAAACCAAGTCTAAACCAGGTCCAAATTTGGTCTAAAGCAGGTCTAAACCAGGTCCAAACTTGGTCTAAACCAGGTCCAAATTTGGTCTAAATCAGGTCCAAATTTGGTCTAAACCAGGTCTAAACCAGGTCTAAACTTGGTCTAAATCAGCTCTGAACTTGGTCTAAACCAGGTCTAAAACAGGTCCAAACTTGGTCTTAACAAAGCCTAAACCAGGTCTAAACTTAGTCTAAACCAGGTCCAAACTTGGTCTAAACCAGGTCTAAAACAGGTCTAAACTTGGTCCAAATCAGGTCTAAACCAGGTCCAAACTTGGTCTAAATCAGGTCCAAACTTGGTCTAAAACAGGTCCAAACCAGGTCTAAAACAGGTCTAAAACAGGTCTAAACTTGGTCCAAATCAGGTCTAAACCAGGTCTAAACTTGGTCTAAACAAGGCCTAAACCAGATCCAAACCAGGTTTATTCAGAGAATGTGTGTGACATTAGTTTTGTCAAGAGTTTTAAAACTAGAGCCTCATTTTTCTCATGTTTGTATCCTAAAAAAGTCCCATTTTCAGAACAGAGCAGAACTAAACCAGGACTAAACCAGGATTAAAACAGGACTAAACCAGGACTAAACCAGCATTAAAACAGGACTAAAACAGGACTAAACCAGGATTAAAACAGGACTAAAACAGGACTAAAGAGGA